CAAGAAAACGAGTTTTTTTTTCCTGTCAGCTTCACTTGGAGTTGATTCATTGAACTCCGGGCGTATCTTACGTCCGGAGTCCGGACGTAATAATTACTATTAATAACGACTAAAACATTACTATAGAATTAATGCAATAATTATTGTTGAGGAATCTAATATTGTGGCAATGATCCACCAATCATAGTGACATGATTTTAATAGAGAAAAATTAGAGTCATATTTGGTTTTCATCAAAACTCTTTAGATATTTTCTTTAGTCCTCTAATGACACAAATAAGGTATAGTTATTTAGTTTAAAACCTAATAAGGTGACCATAAATAAAATTCTTATTCTTTATTTGGGAAAATATTCATTTTTAAAAACAAGTTTTAAGCTAAGAAATTTAAAAGAGAGGATAATCCTTATCATAAATATAGTAACTTATATAGGGTAAGAAATAAATTAATATAAAATGAAAAATAAATGCAGCATAAACATTCATTTTCATTTACAAGATGTTGACATGATAAAAAAATAAATAGAGAGCATAAACAACATTACAAATGCGTAAGTCATCATAGAATATGTGTGTTTTTGCGTGTGCGTGCGTGTTATTAACTCAAGTTATCACAGAGCACATCAAATTAAATACATCACAAACATATATTACTAAATCAAATCATTGTATTACATGCATCACGGTAGGGTTGTAATCAAGTCGAGTTGAGTAACTTGGTTTGGTACAATTATAAATTATTCAGATTCGGCATGAGCTTATATTGAACTTTAACATATTGTTCAAGTTTAACTTGTTTAAATTTTTTTATGTTTGAACTTGATATGTATCTGACAAGAGAACAAATATTTAAACGAACTAAAATTTTAAACGAGTATGTAGATTTTTATATAAAATATATAATAAATAATCAATTGAATAAATCATATAAGCAAATGAATTACCCCCACATGATGTCATCCAGTAGCTATGAACAAATCCTAAGATAGAGAAAAAAATATTGAAACATGAACAAAAAAAATCAAAATGAACATAATGTAGCTCAAAATGTAAAATTATTCATTAATTGTATAAAATAATTAAGAAAAATTATAGTGAGATAAAACATAATAAAAGAAAATGAACAAACAATTGATGTTCACTTTCAAAATCTAACATGTTAATTTTCAACTAGTTAATAATTAATAATAAATTAAACATATAATTAATAATTAATCTAAAATATTATTGATACGAGTTTAATATCGAGTATTTAACAAATTATTTATTGAACAACAAACGAATTTGTTCACGAACATATATGAACATGTTCAACTATATTCCTGTTTAGTACATTTAGAATTCGAGTTTTTAAAAATTATTCAAGCTGGTTTATTTACTAATTTGAACTAACAAAATCGAGTATTAATCGAGCCAATTTTGAGTTGTTCAGCCCTATTAGTACTAATAAGAAGACTACTAAGTAATAGACATTGCTTTCTATTTTTCTATTAATACATAAAATAGTAGGGAAATATTGGTCATTATTTAAAGTATATTTGAATATTTTTTTGTATATCTAAACGCGATTCAAACACAAGTCGAAGAAAGGTCTAATTATTAGGCGCGGAGGGCGCAAGCAGAGCTGCGCGCGCCCTCAGATCACAGCGGCACATCGCGGTTGTATGACAGTGACTGGTGTACATATAAAAAAAATATTTAATATTTACATATAAAGACAAAGTACTGCATAAATTAATTGATTGGTGTACATATAAAATAAAATATCTTGAATATATTTTTGAGATAAAATAATATTGAATTAACTCCCCTATGAATGATAATTTAGGGAGCCTTGGATTTGAAGTCATCTCATTACACCTTTTCACTCAACATTATGTAAGAAAATTATAATATTGTATTGTCATACAGCCGCGATGTGCCGTTGTGATCTGAGGGAGCGCGCAGCTCTGCGTGCGCCCTCCGCACGGAATAATCGCTCCGAAGAAAGATTAGTTGTGATTAATTTTTTCATTATTTATTAATTAATTTAAAATATTAATGAATTATTATTATAGTTAAAATAAAATAATAAATTAAATTAAGTTTAACAAGCATATTTAAAACTTAGAAGATTATAAAATAATTTTAGAGAACTTAGTAGGATTGTATAAAAAATGCTCTTATTCTATCTGGACGCAATGAATAAAAAAGGATTCATGTAGCTCACCTAGGTGTAAGTGAGTCAAGCATGTTCCTGAGCCGGCTCAAGCTCGGACCAATAAATAGCTCATGAATTGAGCTTGATGAGCTAACAAGCCGAGCTTAAGCTAGCCATGACTCGAATTGTTAGCTCGTGGGCTCTGGACTCGTTAGCTATTGAACTAGCTCATTTTAAAAATATCAATATAAAATATACTCAAAATATATTAAATTTAATGAATTTTTCTTTAAAGGATTAAAATATATAAAAAATAATATTTTGTATTTTATATTAAGTGATTTCTTAATATTTCTATAGTAATTTCTCACATTTTTTTTATTATTTTATTATAAAACTGTCTTAAATTAATATTATTTTCTCTTTTATGAAAAATAAGCTGGCTCGAACTTGTAAGCTTAAACTTGAGCCTGAGCTCGAACTCAATGAAGTATTTAATCAAACTCAAGCTTAAATCGAGGGTTGCTTAAGTTCGATTCAACTCATTGACCCTGATCCCAATTAGTGGGATAAAGACTTGTTGTTGTTGTAGTAATAGTTGGATTTAAGGTGCGTTTAGGAGCTCTTTCCTTCCCTTCAGCTTCTCATCTCCGGAAGGCCGAAGAACACGTTTGGGAGCAAGGTTTTCGCGTACATTTCACGGACGACAAGCCTTGGTTCGGCGAAAGCTAAAACGTAGGGAGGGCTATGTGTTCCGCCGCTGGAGCTCTGTTACAAGTGGTATTTGACGTAGTTGCCCCTCTTCATTTTGCAGAATACCTAACCTATATCCCCGCTAATACTTCTCGCCTCCTCCCCTTGGTTGCCACTTGTGTCTTCCGAGCTGAAACTCAATTGCGCTCTCCTCCCTCTCTTGTCGTTCCCGTTGTTTCTTCTTTTATGGGTTTTTTCTTGTTTTTGATTTACCTCCTCTTCATTGCCTCGTTCGGCTTCTGTGTTCGATTATGAGCACTGTTTTTTTCTATTTTCTTAGAGGATTTTTGTTGGACTTGTTTAGTTTATGCGTGTTCAAATGTTAATAGAACAATTTGCTTGCTATTGCCTATTCTTTAGTACAAAGAAACATTTAGAGGAAAAAAATTTCAGCACTGTTTCTATTTTTTTTATTTGAAAAATGTATACCATTGGAAATGCCTATGTTTTAATGCAAACTCGAAGGTTATATGACAGATAACTTAGTAGTATTTAGCTACATCCAGATCAATCATGAGAAGTTATGGAATTATAGATATATGATCAATGTTTTTTTGTCTTTTAGAGAATTTTTGTTAGACTTGTTTTTTGTATATTTGTTCTGATGTTCGTATGTCAATTTGCTTGCACTTGTCTATTCTTCAGTGCAGAGAAACATTTTGGGAGGATAATATTTTCATTTTTGGGAATTCATTAATGTTGTCATTTTTCAGAAAAATATTACCTAGTCGACTCAGGATATCCAATGCAACATGATTTTTTGAAGTCATTTCTCGACAAGAGGTATCATCTTCTTGATTTTGAGCACAACAACCAAGTTATTAGATGGAGGAATGAACTCTTCAACAAAATACACTTGTCATTACAGAGTGTTATCAAGAGAGCATTCGGTGTAGGAAGAAGTGGACCATACTCTGAGATATGTCTGTCTACTCTTTCAAGGAATATGTGAAGATAGTTGTTGCAATAGTATCACTCAACAATTTTATGCAGAGGCATCCTTCCCGGGACGATATCGATTTCAAGTTCTTAAATGAAGATCCTACCAGCACGCCTAAGAAAGCTAACCAACATCGAGTCGGACAATAAGTGCCTGAAAAGGACTTCAGTAGAAATGAGTACAAGAGTTCTGAGGAAGAAGGCATGCAGGAAATGATACAATTAAGAGAAGAGATTGCTGGTGCTTTTGTGAATGGAACGAGCGCTTTTTTGTAGCATCGTCTACTTATTTGTTGTTGATGATTCATATTTCAGCTCTATATTATGAATGTATATTTTCTAAATATTTTTAGCAATCGATGTTGTAGCTTTCTTTATGTGCCCTAACAACCTTTTCTTTAGAATTTTAAAATTGTTTATCTTATATTTATATATATAGACACACACACATGTCGCTAGCCTCGATTTGTTGGTGGCGGGGTCACTGTAAGTCTCCTCAGGTTAAAGGTTTTATCCCATCGTGGAGCAAAGGCTCTGGAATTTTAGGTACATGGCGCCAGCTCTCATCATGGGGCTAAAAAACGCATGGGAAATTTGGGTCTCTTCCAAATATCAATTTCCTTTTTCAAAAAAAAAAATGTATATATCTTGAAGGTTACATCTTCGTATTGTTTGTTAGTTGAAGCTATGGTGCATTATAATAATAAGAAATATAAGTTCAAGAGCATCATGAACTTCAAAAGTTTTGTTCTACCATTGTGGTGATAAGTGTATCCAATTCCAATAAATAAAAGAAGACAACTACGGGAGAAAATTTTTCTCTTTTACCAGAAACAAATCTCCAGAATATTGCAACTTTTTTGTTGAGTTAATGACACTTATAAGTTCCCTCCAAACTATGATCAAGTGATGAGAGATGTTGACATGAAGAAGAGATTGTCCTGAAGACTTGATCATCAAGACTTTAAGACGAACATCATTTTGATTTTGTTGGTTACTGTTGTTCTTATTTTTGTAGTTATATGCTCACTATTTTGCATTATATTGGAATTTTTTTTTTTTTTTTTTTTTTTTTTTTTTTTTTTCTTTATAGTAGGATCTCTTTCTATTATTTAATTGTAATTATTCTGAAAAATACATTTATTCGAATTATATATATATATGTGCGGCAGGTCCTTTCTAGGGTTTTAGACCAGCGAGGCTGAAAGGGAACGAGAGGACGGTTGTGGATCATGGCTCCTAAGGTTGCGAAGGGAAAGGGAAAGACCGGGAAGGGATCGAAGGGGACGGAAGATGCATCGGTCGTAAAGTCCGTTAAGGTGTGGAGCACGTGGGCGATGAAGAAGGCGAAGGTCGTCGCGCACTACGGCTTCATTCCCCTGATTATTATCATTGGCATGAACTCCGAGCCCAAGCCCCACCTTTCCCAACTCCTTAGTCCTGTTTAATATGCAATTCGGTATACGATAGGCTTGTGCCCTTTCCTCCCTCCTTGGCTTACTTTTTTGATCGAACTATTTCCTGCATGTTGTGCTGAAATCATAACCTTAGATCATGTATGTGGTTATTTATTTATGTAGCTGGTAATTTTTGGGTTACAAGGATGATCTGCGGTTACTGTAGTTTAAATCCTGCTTTGTTTACTAGCTTGCAATTGTTTTGGTCGCCTCTTGTTTAATGGCACAGTTTCTCTACATATCAGTTTATGTATTTATTGTACCCTGTGTGTCTTCTCCTTTAGATGTATGATTTCTTCAATGGATATCTGATTATTACTTGTATTCTGTGGTGTTCCTATTATTGCCCAATTAATTCTAAATTACTAGGAAGTTGAAGAAGAAGTGATTTTGCACTTTTTTGTTCTTCGTGATTTGAAGAACTTGCTGATTTGTTTTATTGGTAATTTTTTTTATCTCCTTATGTATCTTTATGAATGCTTTGAAACTCAGGGCTCTCTTAATGAACCTTTTTAAAATTCCAGCATGTTGTTTGAATTCCCTTCTTCTTACAAACAGTACGTAGATGTGAGTTCTGTGTCTTTTCTGCATTTTGAAGTCAAAATATTTATAAATTTAGATAATTAAATGTTAGTTAAAGGTGAAGGGTTATACTTTGATTTTAATTTTTTGTCAACATAAAATGAAAATACTATTTTAGAAAAGTTTCAAATGAGTTTTGAGGAAGAATTTATTTAATTGAGTAAAATGGTAAAATGATATGTATACTAACCCTATAGATTGATGTTGAGAAGTGAGCCTTTTTGAGCTAGCTTGGATTTAGATGCATCTGATAATTTCATAGATTTATATGATGAGATGCATGTTGAGATCCTTAACAATATGATGTTTGAGTATGCATAGTAGTTTTTTAATCATTTTTTAAAGATTAAGACACCAAATTATAGGTGAATCTTTTCTTACAACTAACTTCGTATAATGAAGTTATCGTCATTATTTTTTAAGGTATTTAGCACATGCTTAGAAAAATCATGTCGGTGTTCGAGGATTAAGTTTTTTAAGCTGGTTTTTATTTCAAGGTAAATTTTAGAAGTTTGTAGCGAGTAGCATAAGGATCTTCATATGATTTTATAGATTTTGGAATGGCATGATAAAGTGCGATGATAATGTGATGGGATGGACAATAAAAGGGTTTATGCTGAAGGCTTATCAAAGTTCATTAAGGTGTATTTTGGAATATTGGTTGGCATTAGGCATAGTTATGAAGCGTCTAAAACACCTTCCATTGCTATTCTTAAATCTACATAAGAAAGCTTGAGGGTTGATATTAGATAAATGACTGATTGTAAAACTATGTCAAATTACATGAAATAAAAAATCCAAATTTAAGTTTTGTTATTGTCAGGATGTTTTTCAGAAGTAAACCTCCATGATCTAACTCAATTGTTGCTAGAAGTAGACAAGATTTTGCCAAGACACCACTTGTAAGTAATGCACCATAATTTGAAGCAGTTATGAGAACTAGTATTTTTTGATTGGCATGTTACTTCTAAGGCTTGCACAACAGCTTAGTTTGTTTGTGATGAAAAGTCAAACAATTATTGAGCAGAGCAGGCCTAAAATTATACTGGGATTTGCTATGTGGAAGTTGAGACTTTGAACAAGAAGATAATAGAATTTGTGGGCATAACGATGAGAAGAATATATATATATATATATATATATAT